ACATGATGCGGAATCTATAGTAGCTAAAATAGGCTTGAATTAGGGAAGCAGAGCGGTCTGACCAATTTGGGAGTAACTATTAGGTTACGAGGCCTCTTACGGGTTACCAAAAGAGGGAGTTGCATGTTGTAAATATGAGAGATGTGGTGAATATAGAAGGGAGTTTTGTGTACAAATCGGATATAGTAGTTTAAAATCTAGGTTGTACATAAGTGGGATATGGAATTCTCTGGTAGGTTTAGGTCACAGGACCTGTCTGAGCTATAATGTACTTAATAATAGTATATAACAATTGTATCACATAATATATACAAAATATATGTTTATAATAAAGTCACGAGGCATGACCTCACCTTAACACTAAAATAATAATAATAATAATAATATTACAGCATTAATTAATAGAGGATTGACATATTTAAGGATGAACAAATATAAAGATTCGCTTAATAATTTTAATAAAGTATTAGAAATTAATCCGAATAATGTTATAGCAATGAGCAATCGAGCATTTACTTATAATTTGATGGGTGATCATGAAAAATCGCTTAATGAATACAAAAAATCACTTATTGGTCTTAATGAAACATTAAAAACTGACCCAAATAATGCTGGAATTTTGTGTTTGCGTGGACATGTGCGTCAATTTTTGGGAGATGAAGACTCACTTGCGGATTTAAATAAAGCTTTAGAACTCGATCCAAATAATGCTACAATTAAATTTAATAACAGCATGATTAAATACAGTAAACTACTATTGAATGACAGATATGGAGATGTGTTTGCACGTTTAAAAAGACTATCAAAATTGTCGGATAATATCCAAACATGGAATTTTGGTGATAATTTTGATCAAGTAATGAGCCAATGTGACGAATTATTTGCAAATTTACTCAAAGAGTTAAACGAATTATTAGAAATTAGACCAAATGACATAATGGCATTAAATTTTCGTGGATTCATATATCAATTTTTGAAAGAATATGATGAATCACTTGTAGACTTAAATAGACCTTTAAAAATTAATCCAAATAATGTTACAACGCTTAATAATCGTGGCACAACTTATAAAAGGACGATTCGCTCGCAGACTTTAATAAATATTTAGAAATTAAACCAAATGATGAGGAAACATTATTAAATCTAGGATTTACTTATCAAGAAATGGGTGAATATGAAAATTCGCTTAAAATTGCTAATAAACTATTAAAAGACAATCCAAATAACGTTATGGCTTTGCAACTTCGAAGAATTACTTATTATTTTATGGGCAAATATAAAGAATCACTTGAAGACATAAATAAATTACTTGAAATCGATCCAGGTGATATTTCAACGCTTAATCATCGAGGACTCACTCTTCAAGAAATGGGTGAACACGAAGAATCCCTTAAAGTTTTAGATAAATTTAAAAACTCCCTTGAAGATTTAGATAAACCATTAGGATTAATGTCAAATAAAGCGAAAGAATTAAGCTTCCATGGATTAACTTATCAGAAGATGGATAAATTTGAAGATTCACTTGAAAAATTAAATGATTCATTAAAAATTAATTCAAATAAATTTGAAGACTCGCTCAAAAAATTAAATAGTTCATTAAAAATCAAATCGGATTATGCTTTAGCATTAAATATTCGTGGATCAACTTATAGGATGATGGGTAGATATGAAGAATCACTTGAAGATTTTAAAAAATCATTAGAAATTAATCCGGGTAATTCTACAACTTTAAATAATCTTGGACTAACTTACCAAGACATGGAAAAATATGAAATATCACTTGAAATTTTAAATAAATCATTAGAAATTAGTCCAAGTAATTATAAAGCATTGAATAATCGTGCCATAACTTATCTGAGAATGGATAGATACGAAGATGCACTTGCGGATTTAAACAAAGCATTAGAAATAAGACCTAATAATGAAACGACATTAAATAATCGTGGGATGACTTATCAATTTTTGGGAGAATATGAAAAATCATTAGAAGATTTAAATAAATCATTAGAAATAAGACCAAATAATATTATAACATTAAGTAATCGTGGATTGACTTACCAATCTATGGGAAGATATGAAGAATCAATTAAAGATTTAAATGATGCTTTAGGAATTAAATCAAGCAACATAAAAATAATAAATAGGTATGAAACTACTTCTATGAGGTATGGAACTTGTGTCAATGCAAAATGTAAACAGCGTAAAAAGTATAATACCGGATATGCTTTTTGCCATGCATGTGATCCTTATATAAATCAAAGTTGGAATAGTGGAAATGATGAAGTGGATAAATTGATTAAAGAATTTATTGAAAGTGCACAAATGAAATCAGAATATTATGATAAAGTAATTGAATGGATACCTTTTGAAAAATTAAAAAACATTGAAGAAATCGGGAAAGGTGGCTTTGGCATAGTATATTCTGCAATTTGGATTGATGGCAAACGGAAATATATAGCAAAAAATAAAACAATAATGACATCTCGTGAGAAGAACTGCGTGGTCGCTCTGAAAAGCATAGAAAAATGGGATAAAAAGTCTGATTTTTTGGATGAGGTAAATATAATTTACGTAATTATTTGTTTATTATAAGTAATATTATTAATAAATTTATTTATTTTTTGTTATAAAAGTTTAAAGCTTATTATGAATGTCAGATTAAAAGATACGATGTAGAGAAATACGGAATAGAAACATATGGAATTACTTACGATCCCGATAAAAACAAATATATGATAGTATTTGAATATGCAGATAAAGGAGATCTTGGAAAATACATATGCGAAAATTTTTCAACTCTTAAATGGACACAAAAAATAGAAATTCTTTGTTCAATATCTGATAATTTAAATCATATTCATCAACAAGAATATATTCACATAGCGGTAATATACTTATGACAAGTGCTTGGGATTTTAAAGACCTTGAAATCCATACTTTTACTTTAGGTAGTAAAATAGTAGTGGTTTCACAAAATAAGAACAAATGCAAACTAGATGTTGAGCCAAAAATTGCAGATTTAGGATTTTCTAGAAAAATAGATAATGCAGTAGAAGATACAAAAGTAATCGGTAAAATACCTTATATTGCTCCTGAAATATTAAGAGAAGGTGCACAGAATTATACCGAAAAATCAGATATTTATAGTCTAGGAGTAATCATGTCAGAGATGTCAACAGGAAAGACACCCTCCAAAGCCTTGAATGATGATTCCAAAAAGCATCTCAAGAAAAAAATTGATAATTGTAGTTTAGGAGTAAATATGTCAGAGATATCAACAGGAAATCTGCTTTCCGATGATGCTTTAAATGATATCGCAAAAATTTTTAAACCTCCAGAATTTGCTCCTGGAACACCTAGCTTCTATATAAAACTTGCAAAACAATGTATGGATGAAGATCCATCAAAACGTCCATCTGCAGAAAAGATTTATGAAATCCTTCAAATGTGGAGGGAAGCAATTAACAAAGAGGAATTAGATGAATTTCAACTTGAGATAAAAAAAGAATTTTTAAAGGCAGATGAACATGTTCACACGCAATCAACAATTTTACAAGATGCCGAAGACATTTCACAAATTTTCAAAATTTTTGAAGGTATTTATAAACTTATTTTGATATGCTTATTGTAATTATTATAAATATATTATAATTTTAATTACCGGTAATCATAATAGAACATAAACCAAATATCAGTAATGATTCTATGGATTCTGAAGGTAACTACATACATATTGAAATGCTTATTAATATAATTCTTGCAAATATATTTTAATTTTAGTTGATTGTAATAGAACATAAGCTAATTATCAACAAAGATTTTAAAGATTCTGAAGGTAAATATAAACTTATTTTGATATATTGTTTTACAAATTTTTATAAATATATTTATAATTTTAATTAATCAATTATTATAGAACATAAACTTATTATTAATAAAGATTTTGAAGATTCTGAAAGTAATATAAGCTTATTTAATATATATTAATATAATTTTATAAATACGTGTTTTTATAATCGAATATTAACATATTATATAGCAATATTCTTTTATATTAAATTTTATTTTAATTAGATATTATTCAATAGCTTTTAACTATTTTAACCAGGGTGATGTAACCGCCCTATTAAAATTTAGGGATAGGGTGCAGCTTTAAGATATATGGGATTTTTATATAACATAATATACTGGGTTGATTAAAAGTTCCTTCTTTTATCATCTCCGCTAATATTAAACTTTGCTTATAAATTTATATCAAAGAAAGTGAAAAGTTCTTAGATAGGATAAATAACGTATTGCGAAAACAATGTAGGTTTTAAAAAACTTTTATTATTAGCAGCGATAGCAAAAATGTCCGGTTGATCTTTAGTAGAGGTGGCCACTATAGAAATATTATAAGATTATAATATATAAACATAGTATTTGAACTAATTTAAGCAAATTTGAGATTAGTTAGGGTTAGTTAAGGGTTATAGTAAAGTTTATAGTTAGCTCTAGAGTTAGGGTTAGAGTTTTTTTTATATTATAATCTTATAATATTTCTATATTGGCCACCTATACTAAGGAGATCCAAATATTATAAATATTTAAAAATTATGTTTATAAAATTATTATAGTAATATACTTAGTAAATATTAATACGGCTACGGCTGAAATGAAGTTAAAATAGGGATATGGGTAATAAAAGCTAAAAACTCGGCAATTTAAAATAATCTTCATATCAATTTAAAATATTCTACCACTGTATTAATTGAATAGAAGTCAAGTAAACACTATAGTAGTTTAAATATATAATTTTGTGCTTTCAGCAGATTTAAATATTTACCAAATTGTTTCTTATAATTATTAGCAATACCTATATCTTCATCATTGTAAAGTTCAAGATGGCACTGTTCATTAGAATTGGTACCTTAGCAGCATAAATACCTATACTATATTAATAATAAATACCAAGCTAGTTATTCACTGGGATAATGAATAATCGTTTTTGGCAAATTTTTTAGAATTATGATTGTTCAATTCCATAACAAAAAGCTAGAAAAAGTGAATTACTATAACAAATAAATACAACATATACGTATAGAAATGGAATAATAAATAACAGTTTTATAATATCTGTCTTAGCTAATTATACTTCAATTCCAATTCGAAAAATTACGACGAAATTTGATAATACAAATTTTTGATTTATTTCCATTCATTTCAATCTTTATACATTAATAAAATCAAATCAGAATATTTCTCCGAATCAATAAAACTTTTAAAATCATGAAATTTAATTTATTAAAAAAGATGAGGCAATACTGATCGAAACTATAATTTTTGTATCATAGCACACTTGCATATTGCCTTGATACTAGATTAAAACTTTAAGATTTTCTGTAACCTGCAATTAGAACAAGATTCTATTAGTTTTACGATCATTACATGGTTCATATAATTATATATAGAAATGGCTTCCATTCTTTAGCAGTATTTTAATTTACTACATTTAATTTTTGTTTGAAATTTATTAGATAATCATATGTAATACATGCATTTCATGATCTCGAAAAGCATTGCACGCGTATTACACATTATTATATGGATGCATCTAGCTAGTAGCGCCAGACATTAAACTTTACTAAACGATCTTTGTCGAGAATGTACAGTATACATCAATGCAATTGATGTATTAACTGAGATGGGATATGCTCCCAGAAATAGCGCCAGATATCATTGTCATCGGTTGAATTCGCGATGTGTAGCAACACATTGCGTAGAGTAGCCCGGGTTTGATAAGTTAGGCTACCACGAATGGCAAATTCTACGTGGCTTTTATGTGAATTCACATGGGTGGGAGGGTTCGGGTGCGAACTTTACTTCTAACGGAGATGACTGCGGTCTGCTTGTACCGTGTGTCTCTGAAAATGAAGATATGGGGTGTCAGTAGAAACCAAGCAAATTGTTTTTAGTAAGTTTTTTTAAAAACTTTAAATTAAAATATCACAACAATTATTAAACCAAACTTAATAATTTTTTTTATTTTAATTCTATAACCAAATAGCATTAAAATAAAAAAATTTTTATCAAGTTTGGTTTAATAGTTGTTGAGATATTTTAATTTAAAGTCTAAAA